GACTTTCAGACTGAACTGACTAACCTAATTGGAAATCAAATAAAATGTTGGGATATTACAGAAACGTGTATGGAATAACAGCAAACTATCAGCTAAGGTGAAGATGTGAATCTATGAAACTTGTGTGCTGTCTTCCCTGCTTCATGGTTCAGAAATGTGGACTCCATATGCTAGGCACATCAAGAGACAGAACAGCTTTCACATGAGATGTTGGCATAAGATCCTGAAAATAAAGTGGGCAGACAAAATACCAAACACAGAAGTACTGAAGCATGCAGGACTGACACACTTACAAACCACTATCAAGAAGAGGAGGTTGTGATGAATCGGCCATGTCAGGAGAATGGGAGGAGACCATATCCCCAAAAATATTTTGTATAGCGAGATTCAAGACAGCTGTAGAAAGCAAGGTTGCCCTCTTTGGTGCTACCATGATGTGTGCAAAAAATGATATAAAGTTGTTCAAAATCAGTGTAGAAAGCTGGGAGGAACATGCAGAATTGCATCTGATTTGGAGAGAGCATCTGGCACTGGGTGCAGCTCAGCATGAAGCGGCTGGGATCCAGAGGATGGAAGCAAAGCAAGAAAGAAGAAAGCAGCGTACTACAAACTTGGACTCCAGCTCAGACAACACATGGATCCGTGAAACTTGTAACAAGCTGTGTCGCTCTTGAATTGGGCTTGTCAGCCACAAACGGATTCATCAGGCATCTGACTAGACCTCTTATGTGTACACCATGATCCAGAGGATTGACGGTTGCCTACGAACCCTGGAACAGAAGTATCTCATTTGCTATTGCTTTTGTTCTAGGAGTTGAAGGCTTTGTAATCAATATATTTAGTGTGCATTATCTAGGTTACACTTTGCCTGATGCTATGCCCCAATGGACTATTATTTTGATTTATACAATTTTTCCAAGTCTCCTTGGATTATTCAGGCCTTTGTAATGCTCTACCAAGCAATTTTATATGATAATTGAGCTGGTCAAGCTGCCATGATTTCCCATAGAAACATATTCAAATGGAATATAAATTATTGAGAGCTTTTAAGGAAGAACATATAATTACATGCAGAATACAATATTCCCAATGAAATTTCAAACAAGGCTTGAGAAAATTGAATTTCCAAGGCATTCAAACCTGAAATCCAGAATGTAGGAGTAAAGAGGAACCTGAGTAAAATCGAGATCAAACTCAACAGCAAAACACAACAGATCCATACAGATGGGAACATTATCGAACAAGTAACAGAGTGCATGTGCTCCGGTCAGATGGAAACCAGATGAAAATAAATCAAGAGATGAAACAGAAGAGGCTTGAACACATCTGGGAAGAGCAATCACCCCACTCAGTCAGAACAGGAAGGTTTACAACCAGTACATCTTTATGACAATGAGATATTGCTTTGATGCACAGTCCCTCACAAAGAAAATGGATCAAAAATGTGTCCCACACTGGGTGAAGCAAGGAGTGAGAAATGATGTTGAGCTATCCATTAAACAGTCCTGAGATAGTGTGGTAAGGCACATCATAAGTAGATAGGAAACTGAGCTAGGGACTGTGACAAACTAAAGTAGCAGACAGCATTTGTTAGATACATAGAAGCAAGTGACAACAGGCAAGAAAGCTTTCCCTCCGGACAGAGACCTCATAGTGCTGAAATTAGAGGTAGGGGAATGAAATAACACTATTATCATTAAGTATTTTCTTCCAGAACAATCCACAGATCACAGCAAGGAAAAGTCCCTGCCCTCAAAAAGCTGATACTTTAAAACAATAAATATTGAATATGCGTTTCCCCTGACTATTATAATTAAATAATATTCTGATTGCCTCTTTCCCAGTTTCCACCGTTTTACTGGTACAAACTCATGGGAAGCCAATTCTACAGTGAATGTTAGTACTAGATATACTGTAAGTCCGAGACTGGAAAATTCCCATCTTGAATTGTCTGACCAACGACAAAGGGTCGATATTTCTCAAATGTTAGCATATTTCTGATAAATTCATGGAGCTGAAACATGTTGAAAAGATACTCTTTTATTATAAATACATTAAAGGGAATCATAGCAGCTCACAGGTATTCCAGGAGCAGAAAAAAGAGCTCCATTCATCAAATATATCTTGTATTGAAAATTATCATTCTAATCTTGTCCTATCATAAGTACTTTATATCCAGTTAGGGCATACAGTTCCTCTCTCCTGCTACCACAGACAATATATTTGAGTGAGTGCAACTTTAATTTGTTCAAAGTGAAATTTAATTTTAAAATTAATTTCATTCTAAATGGCGCTGGGAAACTTGGTACACTGATGTTGTCTTGATTTACTGATGTCATTGGATATCTAAGAGGAAGCTGCATTTTCTAGAATTTGTGAGCAGGAGGTTAGAGTACTTTTTAGTAATGACAAATGAGAGCAATTGTAGAAAAATGGGTAGGTGAATCACTACAGAGAGGTGAGATGAACCGAGGACCCCCCAGATAGCTTCCATAGAGTGGAAACTGTAATAGAGAGGACAGTATTCATGGAGAATATTTACAGTTAGTTTTGTGCAGTCAGGGGAGTATGAGGCCTGAGGCTTTGCCTATACCAATCTTGGGCTGTACCTGGGAGTACTACTGTGGAATATGCCTCGCCCACTTGGTCCTGTTCTGCAAGATATGAAGCAATGATACAAACCAAGAATTATGCTGGTGACATATTTATTGGATAGACTAAAAACAAGGTGGAAGACTGCTCAGAGGACCCTAGTTTCAAAAAACTTTCAATTTTGCTTGCAAAACCATGGGCCAGCGGCTGTCCTGGGGTAGTTCTATGGCCATCAGTGGTGCAATGCTAACCTGTCCCACTTGTGCATTCAGCCCATTGCTTTTAACAGGCTATTTCACATCACGTTCTGCCTTCCAAAATAGAGAAAGTTCCTGTGGGAACATGACTCCAACATACAACTCTTTATCATGGTCCCAGACCCATAGAGCACTGTTGATGGAGAAATCAATACCAGTGACTGGAAAATTAGTGGGAGACATAGTTAGCCATGTTAGTCTGAAGTCAAGGAGAAGGCAAGGTAGATTTGCACCTTACAGACTAACCAAAGCCAGTGGGAGTCCTGCCTGAATAAGGACAGAGCCCAGAATTACTCGCTTCTGTGAAGCAAAGCATTCCCAGAAATAACAGCAACTATGCTAAAAACAGACTCTTGGATTATATTGATCTCACGCTTTTGAAAACACTCTTAAGAGAGTCAGCCATCTGATCACCAAAGAGTAGTAAACTACAATATATGTTCATTGGTTCTTACTGTGTACTGCTATTGAATTTTCTACACATCATAGGCATTTATTTTTACTGAATTTATGTAGTTTATTGAGAGAGTAATATAACCAGTGAATAAAATAAAAGCATTCTATCCTATCTGTCACCCAAATGGAATCAGATTTACTCAAAGACAGACTATAGTTTCAACTCATCCCCAACGTTAACATTAAGACCTCCCTCTCAGGATTGCTTATCTGATAAAAAGCCTCTCTATCCGGGGTCTGATATTAATGCATAAATCCTGGAGGTGTGTCTAGAAAAGTTTTTACCATTCAACTGAAAAAATTAAATAGAACATGAAGACACAATAAAATCCTTCCAGGAAAAAAGGATGAATTCAGTGTTTAATTTGGAAGGAGTGACAAGAACTGGTACTTCAGGGCTAACTGTTAACTCTCCAAGGAACAAACAAAGAAACAACCAAGCTGGAAATTTTAGAGATAAATGGCATTTAAATTAGTTTGATCAAAGATATTTATTCAATAAGATATTTGCAGCTAACTGTTTTCAACATTTACTCAATGTATTTAGGTACCAGTTCTATAAATGTTTCAGATGCCATCTTGGTAATAAGCAGTAATTTAACTGGAGATTCTGCAGACCCAAAAACATCAGTCTTTTCAGCCTGAATTGAAACATCAACCTTGTAGCTCAGAGCTGTGACAAAATATCATCCATGGACTGGGTATGCAAAAGTCACTGAGTAGTGGGTAACATAAACACTTTATCATCTCTATCCATCCACCTACCTTAGGCTTTCCATGGCTGTCCACTGCTGTAGCATCTCAACACCTTCAAGTAAAATCAACAGCAATAGGGAAATCCCTAGCAGATGTCTTGGAACCACTGGCACTTCTCCCTTTTGGGAATCAAAATTTTGCATATGTTTCAATTTACATACAAAGATTACAGGTTTAATTTTACATTCCTTGATGTTATATCAGTATCATTAAGGAGGCTTTATAAAACACATTAATCTCAAGCCAGGTATGAAACTTAGACATCATGATAATAAACTCATCTCTTTGTGATACCACAACTGGTATGCATGGAACACTAAAACATGCCCCACATGACACATTTGCAGTATGGGGGCAAAATTTGCTACCAGCATTGCCCAGTAGCAAAAAAAAAAAAAAGTGCCTGGGAAAAAAAGCAGTGCAGAGCACACAAAAATAGCATACACCAGAACAAACAGAGGCTCAATCCTTCGGTGAGATGGTCTGGCTGCTGGATAGAGCCTCTCTACTGCTCCATTTGTGCCTCTGCCGCTCCAGCACACCAGGAACCAGGAGGAGCTGGACAAGGACAATTTGCCCACAGCAGGACAATGTGTCCCACAACAAAGCGCACCTGTAGGGGCATGTGCTGAGGCCCAAAGTAGCAGCATATATTTGTGCCACTGCAAGTGCATGCCCTTGCACATCTGGATGTGGCCATAATCTCTTTTAGGAGATGGTGGCAAAAAGGAGTAGGTTAAAATAACTAGAGGATTCCTCATGTAGTTAACACACATACTAGTTAATGCATCAACTCAGATACCTGTGAAAAGCTAAGCATCTTCCCCAAGTTCCCTTACCAAACAATACTTCCCTTCCCACAGACGCAGAGGCTGTACCTAAAACAGGGAGACATTCTTAATGGGGAAAGGGAAGAGAATATCACTTTATGCAAACACAACAATAAGTCAACAGTGAAATTATAAAAGTCACCCCACACAAACAGTACCTTGCACAACTGTCCTTTTTCTGAATTTCACCACCTACTAGTGTGACCATCTGATGGATAAATATCCCTTTTCCTCACCGTCCTCACCATTTGTTGGCAGTCATGATGAGTGCGGTCCAGGAGAGCATGCAGGAAAGTCCATCTCTAGCTCATAGCTAGAAATGACTTTGGGCTTCCATGAAGAGACACAAGGCCACCACCTCTAGCATCAGCAATCACATCACTACCCTTGCTGCACTCTTACTATTGTCTCTAAACATAGTGTACGCTGGAGCCTCTGGCCCTGATTTCAAACTGTATTTTCAAGTTCCTAAACCTATTACAACAAGCTCTAGTGGTGCTTTGTTCTTATTTATCACACTGCATTCAGCTCCAGCCTGGGTCCAACAAAATTCAAGATCCCCATATAGTGGTATGACCAACCCTACTTATAAAACAAAACTTCATTTCTCTAATCTATATTGCCATCTTTACCTCCCATCCATTCAAGCCTGAGGTTTGATCATGGTAACTCCTCACTCAGAATGAACTTTGCCCAGTTCTGTTATTTCATCTACACCCAAAATGTAGATGCATTTTAACCAAATTGACCACAATTGATAGGAAATATACAAATCAGGTTTGCCCCTTCTGTCTCTAGATGGCAGCAGAGCGCTCCTTCCCTGAAGCTTCAGAGCTGCCAAGGTACTGTAGCTGCATACCTTTACATGTTAATTGAGTATTATTTCAGTTATATAGATGAAAGAACTTCACTATTAACCTCTAAAGATTGTTAAAAGATTGATCATATTAAATATTCTGTTTACTTTTGTTTGTCTACCTTGTACAATATATTTATACTTATGGACTAACAA